AGAAAAGAGAGAAGAATGTATTTCATCAAGTATCGGTATATCGGTCACTTTGTTCTCGGAAATAAAATTTTTCAATAATGAATCATTTGTTATGTTGAAAATAAACAAAGCTGAAAAAAACAAAAAGATGTTTTGAAAATGTGATAAACAGTTAAATACATCGTGTAGGATGACAAAACTTTGCTCATTTTGGAAACAAAATATTACACACAGGATGCATCAAAAGCCGTGCAAATAATTCACATAGAATTACGAATACAGTGCTAATATTTTATAGGTATTTATACGAACTAGAATAGATTAGATTTGTTCAGTTAAGAGAATCTATCTTACGTCTCATAGTTGTCATTGAATCACATGCATGAGGTGTAAGAATGAATAGATAAAAACTTTCAACTATCGATTGCTCATACAAGCTGTCGGATCATCTTCTATTATTGAATTTCCTCAGATTAGGACGTATACATTAAAGATGTTCGATGCATCTAGATATTCTTTATGTCATAATCAGAGGTGGGCCAACTCAGGCATCCGCGATTTTCCGGCTACGCTACTATTCATAACAAAATCTTTTTGTTTTTTTCAGCTTTACTTATTTTTTCTAAAGAAAAAAATCAGCAATTCTAATTTTAATCAAACATAACAAATAAAACATCTTTGATAAAACTAGAAATATAGAGAATATATTTCAAATGTGAATAAAAAAAAATCGAATACCGACCGATACTTGATCATATATCATCCAAATAAAAGTCGAGTGTTGATTAAAACGACCCGACGTTGTGTGTATATATATATTCCGGCAGAATTTAAACGGTTATATACGCATATTTCCATCAATCCTGGACGAAAGACAAGAAACAAGTTAATTTTAAAAAATCTATATTAAATCTTAGACAGAGAGAAAGAGGAATAATACATAGTGAAATATTCATCAAGAAAATTTCCTTTATTTTTGTCTGAAAAAAAACACTCCAATCTCTATGATCAACTCATTTCGATTTTTTAAATAATCATTTAGAATATAAATACATACCAAGAAGTTTGTACGAAATCTTTTTCACGTTCCTTTTCAAGAATTTTTAAATACATTGCAATTACCTATACAAATAAAAAACTTTTAAATTAATGAAATTCAGCAAATAGTTTATTACTTTATGTGGATGTTTAACATAGACACAAAAGCCAAGTTCTTTTAATAAACGTCGTTCTGCTTTGATTACTTCATTTTTTCGATCAATATAAACTTGATCAATTAATAAGGGTTGAATTAGACTAAAAAAAACAATTTTGAATCTTTAAATTATATGAATATTAATAACATTACCTTCCAGATCGAACTTGTTTAATATGATGAAATACATTAATAATATCTCGTACACGTCGAGCATTTTCTTCAATTTTAGCTGCAAGATTAGTACAAGCCATTGCCATGATTTCCATAGGACGACGAACAAATGATGAAAAATAAAAATAACGATGAAATAAAACTTGACCAGTCGCAACTGCTGTCTAAAATAAAGATAAAACGAAATCAATATCCTTTTTTGCTGGTAATATTACGAAAATTACTTGTGGTAGTTTTAAAAGTAAACAAGCTGTTTGTATAAGTTCACAACCAATTAATCGTAAATCATATTCAACATCCCATGGTAAACCTTCGATTGTTGATGGTGTTGGATTAGGAAAAAGTTTTTCCGGTGGTAATAAAACATTACTTAATGTCAAAACAACACTTCCATATTCCGTCATAGTTTAGAATGAATGAAATTGTTGTTTGTTATTACTCAAGTAAGTAAAACTGACATATTGAGTATTCATATATATAGATGTCGCTGTTTTGAATATGTTGTCTGCATTAATGTGTAGATTTGATTAAAACCAATGGAGAAAGAGTTATCTTTATTATGCTCTCATCTTCTTCTTCTTTTATAAAATAAAATGAATTAATAAGGTAAGAATTTTTCCATAGCAAAAATTTTATAATGCCGATTATTCTGCGCCTCAATATAATCAAATTTATATGATATTATTGAGTTTTTCTATATTCGGCAATAGTATACTTCGATTTGACAAGCGGAGTTCAAAATATTTAAGACTTTCTTCTTTGAATCTATTATCAATCGAACATTATTTCTTTTCTTTTTGTTTAGGTTTATATTTCAATCAATGTACTAGTTCCAAAGATTACTTATGAAGAAGCAGATAATATTTATCAGATGAATAATACTTTTTGTTTTTAAATAAAATAATAAAACTGAATTGAATTGTTAATTATAATTCAGGAAATAAACAATGGATACGAATTCAATGATCAGTTGTTTTTCTTATAGTGTGATCAGTAAATAATGTTGAATGTCAGTAATCACGATCAGGGTGTGGGGGTGCCTGTGGATGTGAGTATCCGCCCACACCCAGTTTAAATTTTTACTGATAATTCACAGTAAAACTATTCATCGTTTTGAATAAAAAAACTGACCATTTAATCTGTACCCATGAACAATTATAGTTTAGAACTCAATCATCTCGTTTAATATCTTAGCTATTAACAAGGATTTTTCTAAATCTAGAACTTGCATAATTCTGACAAAAAAAATTAAAAATGGCATATTCATATTGATTACAAAAGGTTCTATCTAATGAAAGATTTATCAGATTTTGTTTGCCTGCTGCTGATGGTACTATTAACAGTTTTAAACAAAAAAATTTGAATCTGTTTTTCCTTATTTTTACGATTGAGCAAAAAAATATTTAACTCTACAAAATCTATCTGTATCAGATTTTAGAATTCATTACATGCATGATTAACATATAATGTCTAAGAGTATTATTTTAAGCAACAAAATAGGACGATAATGCATTTTTAATCACACAACAAGTTGTCATACGAACACAACATTATATTTTTAGTGAATTATTTTTTTACATCATTGTTGATTTTTATCGTAAATAATTTGTTTTCTAACTCAAATTTATTTAATGAATTAATTTCTGTTAAATACTAATAGTATTACATTAGATTTCATCGTTGACAAGCAGCTATAGAACAATTTAATTCAATTTTTGCATGTTTCCCCCTAACTATAAATAACACATTAGTTAGAGGCGGAAAATCAGTCTA